TACCCTTCACTATGGCCCCCACCCCGCTTCTCTCTGGTGACACCATACTGTTGTCTGTGCATGAGTTTGTCCTGTATCTCATGTATGAGTGGAATCACATGGGTCTTGGCTTTTTATGACTGATTTCACTTAGCATAATATTCTCAAGGTCATCCGTGTTCTTGCAGATGGCGGTATTTCATCTTTTCTTATGCCTGAGTAGTGTTCCATTGTATCCAGCCATCTACCATTCACTAGTGAAGCCATCTGGCCCTGGGCTTTCATTTTGGGGGAGGATGTTGATGGCTGCTTTCAGCTCCTCACTGTTGATCGGTCTATTTGGATTTTTCCAATTCTTCATGATTCAGTCTAAGTAGGTTGCCCATTTCTATGACCTTATCCGTTTCTTCTAAATTATTGAAGTTGGTGGCATACAGTCTTCTTAAGTATCCTAGTATGACCCTTTGTATTTCTGTGATGTCTGTGGTAACTTCTCTTTCATTTGTGCTTTTGTTTATGTGAGTCTTTTCTTTACTTAGTGATTCTGGCCAGGGTTTTGTCAATTTTATTATGTCTTTAAAAAACAAGCTCTTTGTTGTATTATTTTTAAACATTTTTTGTTCTCTATTTCATTCAATTCTGCTCCAATTTTTATTACTTTTATTATATATTCCTGATATATAATAAAAATATAATTCCTATTATTTTCATTGCCGATGTTAGGCTGCTTTTGTTCTTTTAAGATGTAAGGTTAGATTGCTTACTTGAGCTTTTTCTGTTTCTTGAGATAGGGCTGTAATGATATAAACTCCCCCCTGACCTTACTGACTTCACTGCAACCCAGAAGTTTTGATAGTCACACTGTCATTCTCATTTGTCTCTCTATACCTTTTGATCTTACCTTTTATTTCTTCTTTGATCCATTTTTGGTAGTATGCCGTGTAATCTCCACATATTTGTGTGGTTTATGTTTACTTCCTTTTTGCAGCTGATTTCTAATTTCAAAGCACTGGGCTTGCAGAATATGCTTGGTATGACTGCAATCTTCTTGAATCTGCTGAGGCTAGTTTTGTAATTCAGCATCTGGTCTGTCCTTGAGAATGTTCTATGTGCACTGGAGAGGAATGTATAATCTGATGTTCTGGGATGAAAGGCTCTGTAAATGCCCTTTATGTCCATTTGGCCTAATGTGTCAGTCAAGGCTGATATTTATCGATTTTCTGTTTGGATGATCTACCTAGAACTGTTGATGGAGTATTGAGGTCCCCTATGATGATTGTGTTTTTTGCCAGTTTCTGCCTGTAAGTGCTATTAGTAATTGTTTTATATATATTGGTGCTTCCTGGCTTGGTGCATATGTGTGTAAAGAAGTACTATGTCTTCGTGATGTAGTGTCCCCTTTATCATTATATAATGTCCATCTGTGTCTCTTGTTACCTTTGTTATCTTGAAATCTTTTTTCCAGATATAAGCATGGCCACACCTCCTTTTCTGTGGATGCCATTTGCTTGGGGAATAATTTTTCCACCCATTCACTTTCAGTCTGTATTTTTGCAGCTTAGCTGCATCTTCTGAAGGCAGCATATGGTAGGAGTTTGTTTTTTGATCCCATCTGCTACTCGGTGTCTATTGGTGAATTAAGTCCATTTACACTTAGAAAAATCACTCATGTATAAGGATTTCCTGTAGCCATTCTGTCTTTTGTTTTCTGGTGGCTCTGTGCCTACAGTGGTTTTTTTCCTTCGTGTCCCTGTCTGTTGTTTTTATTTGCTGGTATTCTATACATTTCCCCTGTTTTGTCCTAAAGTTATGTGTCTCAGTTTTGGAACTGTGTGTGCATGTGTGTGTGGGGGGGTTACCATTAGGTTTATGAAAAAGAAAATTTCATACATAACAGCCCTTGTTCTTCTAAATGCATCTTATCTCCATCCTCCTCTGCACATTCAGACCATTACCTCTTCTGCTTTTACATTTTATGCCAAAAATTATCTGTTTATGCTGTAAGTGTATTGGTGATCTTGCTCACAGTTTTATGACCTTTTGTTCTTTGTTTCAGGTAGAATAACCTGCTTGATTATTTCCTGCAATGGAGGTCTCCTGGTGATAAATTCCCTCAACTTCTTCTGTATGCCTGAAAAAGTCTTTATTTCTCCTTCATATCTAAAGGATATCTTTGCTGGGTACATTATTTTTGGCTGGTAATTTCTCTTTCAGTAGTTTGAAAATTTGGTCCCACTCTCTTGTTTCTGCTGAGAAGTCTGATGATAACCTAATGGACTTTCCTTTATAGGTTACTTTCTTCTTTCCTTGGCTACCTTGAGAACTGTCATTAATTCTGACAGTTTTAATACAATGTGCCTTGGAGAAGGCCTTTTCAGATCAAGGTAATTAGGTGTTCTGTTTACTTCTTGGTGTTGAGAATCTGGCTCTTTCCGCAGGTTTGGGAATTCCTCGTCAACTATTAGTTTGAACAGGCTCTCCATTCCCCTGCCCGTCTTCCTCTTCTGGTTTGCTTATTATTCTTACACTGCTCTTTCTGATGGAGTCAGTTCTCATAGAGCTCTTTCATTTTTTTTTTTAATGCTCAAGTCTCTCCTTCCCTCTATGTCATTGCTAGATTTTCATCTTGGATATTACTCTTTCCTCCATCTGATCAACTCTATTTCCTGTTGTTGCTAGTTCATTCTTGATCTCTTTTATTGAGTCCTTCATCTCCAAAATGTCTATTTCATTATTTTTTAAAGTTTTAAAATCCTTGGTAAAGTAGTCATTCTGTTTGTTGACTTGGTTCTGGAGTTCATAAAATTGCCTATGTGTTTTCTTGCATCTTGAGTTTTTTCAGAGTTGCAATCCTGAATTCTGTCATTTAAACCACCTATATCCATCTTTATTTTATGAAGATTTTTCATTTTCTTTCTGAGCTGCCTCATTATTTTGGTTATTCATGGTATTTGATGGATTCTTTACTTGTCCAGGCATCTATGCATGAGTGACACTTCTCTAGTTTATTGGTAAGAAGTATTTGTTGTTTTCCATCAGGTGGTAAACAACTTCTCTGGCTTTTCATACCTAGGCGGGGTGGTAAAACGTGGCTTGTATTCCCTGGGAAGGTGGGTGCCTCCCCTGTGATTTGGTTTCCCTGTTCCCAGGGGCCAACCCTTCAGGGGAATGCAGTGCGCAATGGGGCTCGAAATCCATGAAATCCCAGTGCTGTTCCCTGGGCACATCTGGCTGCAGCCAGATGCTGTCAGTAGTGATGTGTGGGAGTGGGGTGAGCTGGGGAAACCTGCTGCCTCCTTTGTTGCTTTGCCCTCCCAGCAGACCTCCATGGTGTGCCCCCTGCTCTCCACCTGGCCCTGGGATTAGTAACAGAATGCATCCTTTGCTCAGGAAGGTGTTTCTGTACTACCAGTTCTCAGGTTTGCAGATAATGTGCTTGTGCCCTGCAACCCATGAAGAGTAAGTGGTGGTGAGCTCTGGGAGGTTAAGAGAAGTCTCCGTGGCTTTGTTTCTCTGGGATGCTGATTGCCAGACAAGTGTGGTCCTACCTCTGTGCGTCATTCCCGCCCAGGTCACTGGGCTCAGTGCAGCTTGTACTGCCCACTCCTGTAGGAATATTCACGAAATCCCTCTGCTTCTCCTGGCTGAAGCCCCCCAGTGAGCTCCAGGCTGCAGGGCTGCGTCCGTGGTGCTACGAGTCCTCCCTTCTTAAACTCAATAAAATAGCTTGAAAACTCTCTTTCCTAAGCATCATGATTAATCAAGTCTTACCTGGACTTGAAGGTTTTTCCTGGCTTTTGGTTCTTGAAAATGTAAATTCTTGTTTTTCCTTATTGGTGGGGAGCGGAGAGTGAGAAGGTAGGAAAAATTTTAACACAGATTTTATCCTAAAATGTTCTGAAGCTTCCTAAAGGCTCTACAATGAAACAATGTCCATTATTTTTAATTCTCTTATATGTGTGTGTTGTGTGTTTAAGAAACATAGGTATAATGATAAGGCATGAAGTCTATTTACATAAAAATTACAATGCATTGGGAACATTTGATAGTTAATATTAAAAGAAGCATCCTTATTGAGACTCATTTAGTAACAGTTGTTAACAGGCCTCATTGACTTAATTTGCACACACTTTCTAATTTAGCAAATGGGAGAGAAATCATCTTCATAGGTTTCTGGTCATTTCATGGAGGTAGTTTTGCTCAGAGGATAGCAAACCAGTCATCTGATCCCATCAAATTAGGCAAGGTGTTAGCCAAGTTATTGAAAAGAAAACAACGAAGAAAGGAAAAACAAGGTCGTTGTCCTGAGCTGACTCAGACTGTCCTGAACAGACTCCAGTAAAGATGCAGCTGATGCATATTTTTAAATTCAGTCTTCATTCTTAAAAATTTATAAAAATTTCACTAGTTACCACTATTTTCAAAATCTTATCATTTATATCCAATTGTACATACAATTTACTATCTTAAGGATTCAATAGAGCAGAGGGAAATGTTACTCCAAGGCATTAGCTGGAACACAAATGCCATTTTGAAAAGTAGACATTTTCCAGAGATGAAGTACCTTCTGAGGCTGTCATTAGTGAACTTGTCAGCATTTCCCTTGTCTTGATCCCAAGCAGACAGTAAGGTTGCATTTCCCCGCTCCCGGGAAATTAGCAGTGGCCATGTGACTAGTTCTGAACACTGGCTGTGGATGACCTGACGTGTCACTGCCGCTGGAGCCTGTGTGAGACTTGCCAGCTCCTTCCCTTGCTGTGGTGACCCCCAATTTTGCAGATGGCAGAGGCTCCACCAGAAGCGACCCTGGGTGTGAGTGACAGGAGCAGGGCACCTTGCCGGCCTGGGGTGGGCGTGGAGCACCAGGGAGACACAGTCTGTTATGTTAAAGCACGGAGGGTGCAGGGTGGTTACTTCTGCATAATCTTGCCTGTCCTGATTAATAATATACCTTCTTCACCTGGAAAAGACAATCCCGGTGATGAGTTAACAAACAAACAAACAAACATAGAGATGAAGTGTGCTGGGTGTCACAGTAAAATTTATTTGTCTTTATGATTTATACAAAAGGACAAACACTGTCTAGATGGCCAGATGTCGCTCAGAAAATGACTGGTCCCAGTTCAATCACACAAATGTAGATTCAGCTTGGAAATGCGTTTCTTTATGATGATTTTAATCTTTTTTTCAGTTCCCAAGGCTTGCACAGTTTGATGCAAATGGTTTTTCTACTTTGTTATTATCAGGCACATGATGTTTACCAATTCCCAGGAAATAAAAAGAATCAACAAAAATGTTCCATGACAATTGAATACACATTCACAGAAATAAATCTGATGAGCTTATTAGAGTTTCACACAGTTCAGTTATAAAACCTACATATGAAATGCAAAACAATACTAAGAAATTACATTTGTCTTAAGGATTTATTTCTTTAAAAATATTTACCATATCTTTCTTTTGTGCAAGGGTCCCATTGATTTCTTTGGTATTAAACAGTACAGTTCCGTCTGACTAAATATATATAGCTCTATTTGTACCAAACATCAAGAATTAAAAAGTTAAAATTTCAGGAGGTAAAAAATGGAATTAATGCTTCAGTATAAAAAATGCCTGGCCCATGTGGGCACCACTGCTATTGTTGCTTTGCTTCTATTGGAAAACTGTCCTGGAAATCAAGGAGTGCACCCCACAGCTCTCTGCTTAAAGTATAATTTGGCTGAACATTATTACCTATTACTGTATCCTGACCTTCACCAAAGCTATGCTGATCCTGTTTTTAAAAAAACAAAACAAAGTGAAATGGCATAAATAAATAAGTTTACCAAATGGGATATAATAAATAGGCTACTAGAGGAGAATAAAGAATATTGTAACATAAAGCCCTTCAGTGCTGTACAATTAAACAACAGCTTTGGATTTTGAAAATCTCTAAACACAGCTTTCATTTCATCACATGGTTATGGTGTTGGTACGCAGCTGACAGTTATAGAAAATACATGTCTGCTGTTTTCATCATTTGAAAATGAAAACATAATAGATACACTTGTAACTTGTGCCTTTTGGGAATTTACCTGGGTATGTACTAATCACTTGTTGACTACTGCCTAGTTGTAGAGCACAAATCTTAGGGATTAAAAAAAAAACAACACACACTATCCCTTCAATTCTTAGTGGTTTCTTGGTCTCCAGAATAGTTATAGAAACAAAGAGAGAAGAAGTTAGACTCAAAAGTTTTGCTGCCTTCTTTTCTTTGCATCCATTGCGTCCAGAATAGGCTGCCTCTTTGCAGTGTACCTTTGACGAAGCTCTTCTATTTCTCGTTCCATCATGGGGTCCAGAGCTTTTAGCCGCATCTGTAGTTCTTCTAAACTTAGATTTTTCAACTGGATATAGAAATAAAACGAAGATATCAATATAGCAAAATTATCTGCAGTAGGTTAAAATCTGATAAGTTTTAGCATAACTATTTCAGCAGACTTGTTACATTATCATTGAAATATAGCTCAACAATTAAAATAGGAATCCTTCCATGAAGAACTAAGAAGCCACCTCTTGCAGGAACCTCAAGTAATTTGCAACACAATTAGAAAAGAGCAAATGAGAAAAATAAGCTGGTAAAATACAAGTTTTTGAAAAAAGGCAGAAAGACAAATCCACTGTTGTCAACAGACTTTCAGGTTATGCTCTGGATATTTATGTAAGTTCCATCAGGAAAAAGCCCAACCACTGTTAATGTCATGGGGATGGTTTGCATGACATCGGTGTAACCCGGAAGCCAAGGAGGGTGGGCTGGAACGTGCCCGTGTGAACAATGATGACCTCACTCGACCAGTCAGTGGGTGCAATAGACGCTGTTGAGTGAGCACATGTAGTGTGTGGCCATTGCATTCAAAGTAATTGAGCGAGTAGAGCAACAAATCTGCACCAAACTTTGCATTAAGCTTGAACATTCATCCACAGAAACTATTCAGATAATTCAGAAGGTCACAGCTGGGGGCAACTGGTGACTGGCAGCTTCATCACAACACTGTGTCCACTCACGCATCACGTCTCATGCAGAGTTTTTTGAGAAACATCAAGTCACCTGGGCGGCACAGCCCTCCTGAAGCCCAGATTTGGCGCCCTGTGACTTCTGGCTTTTCCCAAAACTAGAAATATCTTTGAAAGGGAAGAAATTTTAGACCATCAGTAAGATTCAGGAAAATATGATGGGGCAGCTGATGGTGACTGGGAGAACTATGTGAGGTCCCAAGGTGCCTACTTTGAAGGGGACTGAGGTGTCATTGTCCTGTGTACAATGTTTCTTGTATCTTCTTCAATAAATGTCTCTGTTTTTCTTATTACATGGCTGGATACCTTCTGGACAGACTTCATATGTGCTCTCTAATCTCACATCCTCCCCAGCTATGGAGTGTTAAGATAATCATGAATACCTGTAGAGAGCACCCAAATGCTTAAATGTTAAGCAAGAAAGTTAATCAGAAAATTAAATTACTTAGAATTATTTTATCCCAAACATTTTCATAAAATAGGGTTTTTAATTTATAATTTGAAATATCCCAAACCTTCTAAGTGTAATGTAAATTCTGACATAGGTGTGACCAATTTGAAAATCAAGTGCTTGTCAGAGTTTCAATGTATACATTATAGTTTGACAATAATATTATAATTTGACTAAATCAGTGACTTCCAATCATTTTCATCTCATGGCACACATAATTACTAAACTTCTGTGGCATACCAAAAAATACATTTTTTTGCTGATCTGACAAAAAAGATAGGCATAATTTTGATTCGTTCAACTGGATGGCTACTGTCATGTTTTTATTTGATAATCTAAGGGAAAAGAGGTCAGTGCCCTGATTATACAGTCAGGTACCACATATGTTAAAAATTCTTGTGGCACAACAGTGCGCCTCTTGCAGTACAATGACTGAAAATCGCTGTACTAAATGATACACTTGATGATGATGATTTAGTTTGACTACGATGGCTCCTGGGGACAACACGAGCATGTTTTCCTGGTTTCCTGTGTAGCAGTAGGAGAGAGCTGTCATGTGACATGCATGTGGTGGATAAAAATCTGTTGTATATCAGGATCTATGGCATCTTAAAATTTATTTATATGTCACAACAGTAAAAAAATGAGGTTATCTCCAAAGAAACATATTTTAGGGATATCGTCTCTGGGTTTAGAAGGGATGTCCTGAGATATATAACCAAACACTTGTGTTCTTATTCTACTAACATTAAAAAAAAATCTAAAACTCTGCTTCTTTTAGAAACTGACTCTCAAAGCAATGTTGGCAGGCAGGTGGTTTAAAAAACCTGTTAAACCATAATGAGTTACAGAATGCTGTTACATACTCAGCATCTCGGTAGGTACTCTACGGAACGCGAGTTATTATCGAGCTATTTCCTTGCCTTGGGGAACCTATAAATTAGTTGGAAAGGAAGGCAGAGATTAGCAACTATAAACATTTAGGGGTTGATGCAAGATCCTATAAAATTAAACCCTATTGTGTATGGTACAAATTATAGCGAGAGGTTCTTAACTCAAGTCCAGGAATAAACTTCTCATGTGCAGAATTCTGCACATTCGTGTGCACGTTTTCCTGGAAAGAGCAGCCATTTTTATTTTTTAAACTGATTGCCAACAAAGAAAGGAGCCTCACTCCAAGTCTGTGGAGGGAAGATTCTCTTTGGCGAGCAGGGGCTGTGCTGCTCCTTGAACAGGAGGCTGAGCGGGGCCCTGAGGAGGCCCTGCCACGCTGAGAAGGACTAAGGACATCGCGAGCTCAGGCAGGCGGGCCCAGGACATAGACGAAGCACGGATGCGCTTCTGGAAGCCCCCATCAGCTCTGGGGCAGGAAGATTATGTGACAGGAACCCAGACTTGGTTTTAAAATGATAAAAATTGCAACTTATTTTTTATTTTAAGAAGATAACTTTCTTCAGTTATTTTATGAGCCAAGCCAGAAAACACTGTCATTACTTTACAGTCATGTGTCAATTTTAAGTAAAAACAGCATTTTTCAGCTTAATCCTCCACTTTATTCACTATACCTGGCCCTAAGAGACTTGTTTCCAAACATAAAATCCACTCATCACCACCAAAGATATGAACAAAAGAATGAGTTACGGACCCTGAAGGAAACTCGGAGGAGGAGCCCCCACCCCCCAGGCGTGGCAGGCGGTGTGGTGGGAAAGAGGCTCTGGGGGGCTGGGGGGGGGACGTCTCTCCCACAACACCACGCGCCTTGGGGTCTGCGAAGTTCTGCTCTCTGTAAAACAGGCCATATTTTTTACTCATGTATCCCCTAACAGTCGAGGTTAATGTATTATACTATTCTATATTTACATATAATGTATGGTATTACAGACTGTCTTCGTTAATTTTGAATTGAAATATTATTAATCCTGCATCTGTTACATGGTCAGCATTGTTCAAATCCCCACGGGGAGAGAGAATAAGCCAACGAGAGAACCTGGAAACCACCTGAACAGCAAGACCAAGTGACGGTGAATTAAAGGGCCGACAAAGACCACGCGCAGCCACACTTCCCTGAGAAACACACGCCTAAGGTCCACCTAAGGCCCACTGCGCGCGCTTTGGCTCTATTTCAGCCCATCTTCTACATCACATCCATGTTTTGTATAACACCTACATTATACAAAAATTTACCATTTGATTCTAAAGTCATGTATTACTTTATTATTAATTTTTATGCCAGAGTTTCATGCCTCTACTCCAGATTTTCCAAAAAAAATATTTATTTATTTCTAAAGAGGGGCAGGGAGGGAGAAAGAGAGGGAGAGAAACATCCGTGTGTGGTTGCTTCTTGTGTACCCCCTACTGGGAACCTGGCTGGTGACCCAGGCATGTGCCCTGTCTGGGAATTGAACTGGTGACCCTTTGGTTCACAGGCCAGTGCTCAATCCACTGGGCCACACCAACCAGGGCCAAAAAAGGTATTTAAACTTTGGAGATTGTACTCACACAGCTGGAAACTACTAACCTATACTGCTAAATATCATGATACGCAGGTGGGTAGATAAATGAGAACACAGAGTAAATGACTCAAAGGAATGGGTTACTTGAAGATTAGGAGACATAACATCATACTAAGCAAACAGTTATCATTACTTAAAAATTTCTGTGTTAAGATATTCTTGTAAAATATCTTATACTACCTTTACTAGGGCAAACTACCAATAGTTCATAAACATATTACAGTAATAAACGGAACTCAGGGGAAGAAGCTACTTAGAAGAAAAAATTTCCTTCCCTAACACTTTTATTTTCATTATGTAAAATTAGCAAAACACAAGCCTGCGGTATTGGAGAGCTGTTGCCCCTGGCATTATTAGGGAATTAGGTGCTGCCTCATAAGTAAGTTCAGGAAGTATCCAAATCTTAGTTCTTTAAGTGACAAAACTTTTCTCATCCACTATGAACAGAAACTCTTTACAAAGTACCTTACAGGATTATACTGCTTTCTGAGGCAGAGGAACCAGGACCTAAGACAGCCTCTCCTTGATGATGATGACCGTCCTTAACAGCTATTACTAACCTGAGCCATGTCATAATTTTCTCTTTCATTTTTGGCTTTTTATCTTCATTTTGGGGAGATCTATCAGCTCCTTTTCATGGCCGTTATTTGGCATATATCCTCTCTCTACTTCAGATTTGTTAATCTACTGGGGACTGAGAAAACTACTAAACAAACAGTCTTCAAGGGCACCGCACGGGATAAGAACAGACTCTGAGTGGAAGCCCAAGGCTGTATAGGAAAGGCGGAGCATGGCTTTAAGCACTAATGGCTACTGTTGTTGTTTTTCTAATCCAATTTCAGATTTATGGCTGTGCAAGGTTGAGGCTGCAGGAAATCTGACTTCCATGTACGCTACATTTATAGCTATGTTTTCGGGTGGGCTGTCAGAGAGCTTCAGGTTGACTCATTTATTAAAATATTCATTGATATTTTCTGTGGACCAAGCACTGCAGATACAGAGATGAATAAAATATTCTACCTCTCACACAGAGCTTGCAATCTAGCTGGCAAGACAGGCCCCATGAACCGCTAGTTCACTGACGGAAAAGCGAGCCGAGAAGGCGAGAAGGCGTGCAGGGAGAAGGGAAGCGGCATGGCATGCGCCGGGAAGCACAAGGCTCACACACGCCTGGCCCCTTTGCAGACATCACCTGACTGCTGTGGTGTGGGAGGCTCCGGGGGGCAGAGGAGGAGGCAGAAAGGGAGGGGCCCCATCGCTAAGGGCCTTCAGCATGTTGCTGCAAACTTTCTGTCAATAAAAAAGAAATTCGAGGTACATTTGAGCACAAATGGTGACAAGATCATTTATGAATGAGCTTTAGAAAAAT